CACACACACACACACACACACACACACACACACACGAACACACACACAACCTCCTGATGAGTCGGTGGAAGTCCGAAGAAACAGTCTGGCAAAGTCATGCTTTTTTTTAGTGTATAGCGAATATGACAACACACACACGCACACACACTTTTTTGGTAGAGCAGCATGAACCAGGTCAGCATGCATACCCCTGTTCAGGGTAATACTCCGACGCAGAGCTTGACTGGTACGAGGAAAGCTCAGAGAAGAGAACCAGCAACAACTCAGTGTCGAACTCTCACTCCCATGGTCTGAAACAGAGTACGGCCAAAAGATGTGGTCCCGCCAGTGTGTGGGAGCGGGACATACTACATATACCTGCTGGGAACAGCCTTACGGCTGGGCTCGTCTCAGGGGTATATCCAGAATAAGCCCCTACCCGCTGATGATGAAAATGTTCGAGGGACAGAAATGTAAAATGAGCTGGTACTGTAGACATGGCAGAAAAATAAGTGTCCGGTGGGCCCAACATGAGGTCCAGGGATAGTGAGTCATGAACAGGGGTATGAATGCTGACCAGGTTCATGCTGCTCTAGCAAAAAATCATTTAGCTTTTAAAGAACCGCACTATCTTTTTTATCTCCTGTTGTTCCAATTTTCTGATTATATCTTCTTGATACAATCTTCTATTTTATTATCCAATTATTAATAATAATTATTCTTATATTTTATTTCTATATTAAAATTTAAAAGTATTTTTGACCAGCTTATTTGATCTTGTTCATCTGATTCTGTCCTGTTTTGTATCTTTCTTTGATTGTTGTCCTCCTCCTCCTCCTCCTCTTTCTCAGTCGATCTTGATGATTCTCGTCTTTCCATTTGTTCGGTTCGTGCTTTGCTGCAGTGGCCTCGATGTGAAGGCACGTGTCATAATTGGGTTGGCAGTTCTGAGCATCGTCACCACCATCAATGTAAGAGTAAACATAGCAATGGCCATCAGGATTTTTAAATCATTTTTTCAATAACAACTCTCTTGTTTTTCTTTTTTTTTTTTTTCATTTCTTGGGAGCGATGATGTGAATACTGTTATCCATGATGTTATCCATTATTATAGTTTTATAAGTACGTTGTTTTAGACGTTTAGTGACTTTGTGCATGTATATGTTTGCTTTGATGCCTCTGACGTCTGGACTGAAATCTCATTTGCATTTGAGCCTGCGATTAGGCGTCTTAACTTTCAATAATGCTTCTGAAGAGTCCAAAAGAGTCTAAAAAACAAGGGGCACTCTAGCCATCATCATCATCATCATCATCATCATCATCGTTAATGTTGAATCACCTAATCAGCAATCAGCAATCAGCAATCAGCAATCAGCAATGACCAATCAACACTCATTGATCATCCTACACAGAACATCCTCCCCCCATTATCATCAGTCATCTTCTCTTCTTCTTCTTCTTCTTCTTCTTCTTCTTTTTCTTTTTCTTCTTTTTCTTCTTCTTCTTCTTCTTCTTCTTCTTCTTCTTCTTCTTCTTCTTCTTCTTCTTCCTCCTCCTCCTCCTCCTTCTTCGCCGTCTTCTTGCTCTTCCTCCTTGCTCTCCCTCCTCCTCCGCTTGCTTCGTCTTTTCTCCTCTTCCTTTTGCTTCATCACACCTTCGAAAATTCAAAGAATACAACAGAGGTCTGGCCCTCAAGTAAAGATTTTATCAAAACAGGTGCCGACCAGGCAGAGAACGAACAAAGAATCAAGGCAAGGTTGAGTCGAATGTGGTGCTTCATCCAGTTAAAGGGGCAACATCCAAACGTGGAACGATAGGCACAATTCAGACGGATACCTCCAATTTGGAAGCTTCAGGGACAAACACATGGAGGGAGGTTGTGGCCATAGCTAGCTCTCTTGGTTCTCACCTCTCATATTGGCTGAAGAGATACCTAGGCTATGGTGCTGTACTCTTGGTTCACCTTGCTTATTTTTCGAAGAGTTTTCGAGTCCGAGATACAAATCTTGGTTTGCTGCTCTTGTCTCAACATGCCTGTGTTTTCTGCGTATGGATGATTTCAGTGTCTGCTGACGTCGGCTCTCGCTCTCCAACTCCAACATCGAGGGAACTTGATCAACACACACACACACACACACACACACACACACACACACACACACACACACACACACACACACACACACAAAGAAAAAAGAGAGAAAAGAAAAACGAAGACATGATCCTCCGAGATTCTTGGGCCGTAAGCAAATCTGACAGACGCAGCCAAGCCGAGTCTGAGAGGGAGTTGAGGAAGAAAGGGTTTGGGTCAGTCACCTCGTTTCCCTCTTAAGAAGACGAAGGAGGAGGAGGAGGAGGAGGAGGAGGAGGAGGAGGAGGAGGAGGAGGAGGGGGGAGACAAGCAGAGTATGGAAGGGATTTGAGGAAGACAGACAGCGCAGCTGAGACATCTAGTGTCAAAGAAAAGGATAAGACAACGGATCGAGTCTTGGTTTCCCGTTCTTTTTTTGTTCCTTTCCCGTTCTTAAGGATGCAATAGAGTGGAGCAGAGAGGTAAATCTTTCCAACATATGGAAGTAATCAATGAATGCCGCTGTTTAAGGATCTGTCATGCATAACGGAGAGAAGTATTGAGTGTGGGTAATATATATAAGGGACACTGGACCCGCTTTTGAGCCAAGAATGCAAAGTCCTGTTTTCGTGAAAAAAGAGGGTTTTTTTTCTTTTTTTTTTTGACCTTTTTTTTGGGGGGGGGGGGGGGGGGGGGGGGGGGGGTGGGCTGTGCAAGTATACAAGAGGGACTTCACCATCCAATTCTTCAACATGCCCAAAAAGATAATCAGAGAAAAAATAAAGAGCAGAAGAGCAGTCCTTTCCTATCCTTTCCTTGCTCGTCCTTCTTGTCACTGTTTTTGAAAAGTATTCATTTTCTTTTCCCCAATGCGAATCTGATATCTCGTCGAAGTTTCTCACTGATATTTTTTTCTCAGCTTCTTCCAACTTTTCTCTAACGTCTTTGTACACATCTATGCGTGCCTCCTTTTATCAGATTCTTGGCGTTGACTCTGTTGGGACAGCATCGCTCCTTTTCTCTGCGCTTGGCTTGTGGTCTGTTTCCTTATGCCTTCTCTTCCTTTATCTTCTCTTCCTTTCCCTCCCTCCCTCTGTCCTCCCTCCCTGCTCTTCCTATCGACCTCCCTTTCTCCCTCTCTCCATTTACCCCTCCCTTAAATTCCTCCCCTCCTTCTCCCTCCCTCCTGCCTTTGTCCTTCCTTCCTTCCTTCCCTCCTCCCTCCTCCCTCCCTCCTGCCTTTGTCCTTCCTTCCTTCCTTCCCTCCTCCCTCCTCCCTCCCTCCTGCCTTTGTCCTTCCTTCCTTCCTTCCCTCCTCCCTCCTCCCTCCCTTGCTCCGCTCGCTCCCTCCCTCCATCTGCTCCTCCCTGCCTCCCTTCTTCTGTTCCTTCCTTCCTTCCTTCCTTCCTTCCTTCCTTCCTTCCTTCCTTCCTCCCTCCCTCCCTTCCCCCCTTGCTCTCTTCCTTCCTTCCTCCCCTCCTCCTTCCTGGCGAGCGTAGAGACTGACCTTCTGCTGTCTTTTTTAAGATCTTCCAACCCTCTTGTCGCGTTACCCTTGGCAGCGGCAGAGGCTAATTTTCATGTGATTAAATTGGATTTTTTTTTTTTTTTTAATTGGATTTTGAAGTTTTGAACAGAGAAAACATTGATGTGAATCCAGCCGGAATGGCCTTATCCGAATGTATCAGATCTGATTTCATCTGATCCACTCCAATCCCATCTGCTCCAAACAGTGAATGGCTCCCCGTGTGACTGGTCGGCAGACCGCCGACTGGTTGGCACTATCGGTAGGCTGCAAAACGGTGGGCGGTGGGGGCCGGTGGTCGGCTGGGATGCAATTCTGGCAATGATGTAGTTCTCGGCTACCATGTGCATTTCTTTTTTTTCCTTTTTTTTTCTTTTTTCTTTTTCGGAGTTTCTGTTGCCTTGTTCTTAAATCCTTTGTTCCCTGGTCTGTTGTTTGGTTGTGTGAAATCCAATTCAGTCCCTTCCTCTGGATGGTTGCCGTGGGCATGCGACGTCTCGATATTGTCAGTGCCATGCAGGTGCGGCGAATTGAACCGGTGGAATGGGCGGTGTTCCTGCCCGTGATCCTGTGGAATACATCTGGGTGAGTGTTGTGATTAAAATTTCGAAAGTTGAACAAAGAAAATGTGAGATGCCTTTTCAATGTTGATCAGTCTGCTGGTTGTTTGGCTTTTTTTTTGGGAAGTTTTTCCGGGCCTTGGAGGCTTTTGTTTTGTGTGCTCTGAGAGGGACTGCAGGACAGAGGTCCAAGGGACCGGATCTGTTCCTAGTTTTAATCCTCTTCCTCTGAAGTGTAAGCTAATAAGCTGGCTGATGCTGTCAGTATGGTTCTCTGTGTCAAATTTTTGGGATCCCCGCCCCGTTGTTGAAACCGTGCAATATAAAAAGACTATGGTTAAAAAAAAAAAAAAAAAAAAAAGTTGATGTGTCTTTGTTGTATTGTAAGGGACGCTGGACCCAATTTCCAGCAGGTGAAGCTCCCCACCCATAGACTGAAGCAAATCTTAAACCATTCTTCATTTTGTTGCCACCCGCCAGGCAGTACCAGATTTGTCCGACATCGTAATGGGCTTTTTTTTTTTTTTTTTTTTTTTGAGAAATTGACACATTTTATTACCAATAACAGAAATCCGTCGAGGCTGGGGACCTCACAATTCAACCCGGGGGACCCAAGGGTGGAAACCAGGTTCTGCATCCCATGTCTATTCTGTTAAGTAAAGAAAACTTCTCAAAAGAAAACTTGAAGCACAGTAAAAATCTGGCAGACGTAAGTTATGTCCCTTCAAAAGGGCTCTGTTTGGTCTCCATAATAGGACAGACTCAGGAAAAAACAACTATCTGGAAACCGGTTCCGGAGTCCCAAAATCGGATTTCCCTTCGTCTACCAGCTCTTCCCAAATATACCTTGAAGTCTAGGAAAGCAAATAACTGTCCTCAGCAATTTAAAGTTTAAACAGATTCCAGCTTCCGAGAAGTGTATATAAGCACTGTAGCTCAAAGAAACCCCTGAAGGCCGACTTCTCTACCCAATACTGAAGACCGGACCATTCACTGCTAAAGGCGCAGTGTTGAATCCTTTGCCCTTACTTTCACTTAAAACAACCAAGGAGAGACTTCCAGGTTACCTTCCGCTGTTATTTTAGCCAGATTCCCTTTGACCCATGTCTAATAGAACCAAAAGCGGTCTTTTCTTCTCCAGTCTGCAAACATGGCCAGCCTGACACCGGCCTTGATCTCTTTTTTAAGCTGTTCGATATTCAGTATTATTCACCTCTTTCTTACTAAATATGTTGGCATTACGTGCCGACCAGAGCGATTCCATGATAATCCCTCTGCAGCAGAGGGCCAGGTAGTTGCCCCCAGAGTCAAAGCTGCCCTTAACCTGAAAGTCTCCCGTAGAGGATGAACTCATCCTCCCACTGAAAATCCAACGCCATCAGTTTCCAAAATTCTTTTCACCACTCCCATAGCCCATCAGACCCAGGGCAGTAAAGCCAAAGGTGGCTGGCTGTTTCACAACCCCAGTCACAGCGCGCGCATGTAGGAGAGAGGTTCATTCCTTTTGTGTTGAGCCACGTTGCTGTAGGGGTTATCTGCAGGGACTGAAGCCACAGCAGAGCTGCCTGTCTTTGGGAAAGCACTTTCTTTAACGCTTTCCATAGGTTGAGAAGGTCTGAGTCCTCTCCTTGAGGGACTTGCAGATATGTTAATCTGCTCTTGGCCGTTATAACCGACTTCTTCGTTGCTTTGTCCTGCTGGAGGACTCCAATCTTCGTTCTATAGCGACAAACAGGTACCGCCTGGGCAGGAGAGTCCAGTCCCCAACCAAAGAGAACGGGTTCCATGACTATCTTATCCTGAGGGCCCAGAATGTGGCATACTACACACCACACGGGCCCTGCAGGGCCCGACCAGGCGGACTAAGGGATAGGTAAGGGCCTTCAGGCCCTGTGTCGTTTCAGCCTGAAAAGGAGGGCCAATGTTAGGCCCTCTTAAAGTCGACCCTTCCTGAAACTTAGGTGCCAGACCAGGGATCAGCGCAGGCCATTTTTAGACCCGTTCCAAGACAACCTTCTTTTGAACGTTGGGCGCCAGGGGCTGGCGCGATCCGGCATTGGCATGAGCAGCCTCCCAACCGGACCAGCACTATATATCGCTGGTCCGCCCAGGAGGCAGGAGGCCGTCTTCAGGATTCGACAGCAGCACTCCTCGGAGCGCTGCAGTAGTAGTAGCAGATGACAATAGGAGTAGTCTTCAGCGCTGGGCGCTGTTAGGACCTTGAAGTAGCGTTGAGAAAGGAGGAGAGTGGCGTAGGCCAGGGAGACTTACCTGGGAGCTTACCTGTGACGCCGTAGCTCCATCTTCGTCTTCGATGTACCTGCAACAAGGTGCCACCTTCACAGGCTAGTACCTGGCACAGAGAGAGAGAGAGAGAGAGAGAGAGAGAGAGAGAGAGAGAGAGAGAGAGAGAGAGAGAGAGAGAGAGAGAGAGAGAGTTCTTCTTCTTCCTC